TTAGTGAACGTGACGAGGAAAACATTTTGAACGTGGAAAGGGCTCTGTTTGGCCTAAAACGTAAAGTTTCGACAAACCAGTTGTCCATTAAAGACTTTTTTGGTAAAAAGAAGTAACTTTGAGAGAGAAACATTCATTTTTTAATGCTTTCCCGCAACTATCATTTTTATTTCCCACCCCCGCCAAAAATGATGCATCGAGGTTTCACTGTATACTAATTGATCATACAAACGGAAGACTGCAGAATAATTTCATTGGACTCTCCTTCAATTTGGGATTTTTGTTATGTAGTGTTCAGTTCATGAAGTACCATATCAAGTATATTGATGAAAGATTTCCTTTGCATAAAGCTTGCTTTGATTTGAAATTAAAATTCATTGTGTTCCAGAGATTCAGTATGTAGAAATATGTGTGTGTAAAACTCAGTTGAATATAGGCATTTGAGGAGGGGAAAATGGAAACAGGACTAACAGCCACACATCTGGATTAATTCAGAATTGCAGACTTACTGGTAGCCCACTCCAAGTTGATTATTATGTTGGAGGACTGGCTAATGAAAGAAAGTTTTTGGGAGGAGATCTGGATGATCATTAAGTGTATTTTAATTTCATAAAATTATTTCTTGTGTTGCATCATTCTGTTGGGAAACTGTCATGTTTCAGACCTTATAAAGTGAATTACATTAAAAATCTGATTAAAAAATAGTTGGAACATAAGCATGTACTCACTGTCTGTTTAGATACAGCCTGAACCAAATATAAGTTCATACTGACAGTTATAAATTAAAAATGTACTGATGCTTACAGATGTGGAGAAGCTGAGCAAAATGAAGAAGTTACTGGAGATTCTGTCCAATCCCAGTAAACGTATGCCATTGGAAACACTGCTGAAGTGTGAAGTTGTTTTAGAAAAACTTGATCTGAAACGGGTAAGCTTGAGTGCAAGGGTATTTTAAAATGTTAAATAGCATGTATTCTTTGCTTTTTTATTTTACAATGTCCCTAGTGGCAAATCCTGTTGTTGAAACCAGGTCATGCAGAAATGCAATATCATTAAATTACAAGAAAATGCTAAGGTGTTTTTATTTGTTGTTGTGTTATGTAGTAAAACATGTCTTCCGTATTCCAGTTTTAGTGGTCTGGCAGTGCACTCTCTGTATCAGATTTGTCAGAGTCTCTTTTTAACAGATTATAATTTTCAATCTTAAAATTATTTAGGGCGAGGGGAGTGTGGCTCCACAGACAACTCATTTAATTCCATTGAAAGAGCACCATATTTTCAACCCTTTGCTAGAAGCCGTGAGTAATACTCTGCAGAGCCCTGTGGCAAACCACACACTGCAGCGCACCTTTGGACCATGCCTTGAAGCATTATTTGGTCCAGAAATCAAGTATGTATTGTCTTGAAACACTCATTCTGTCTAATTATTTAACATCAAATTTAAAGTCATCTTGGCATATATTAAATGTTCCTCTTCAATGATGTGCCTACATAATCTACACAGTCAGCTAAATCATTACAAATGAATTCAAACGTATTACAGAAGAAATTGGAGGTATTACTAATATAACATTGTGAAATTCACATCAAAGGTTAGTACAAAGTGTTTTATCAGAAATGTTTCTTAAGACTTAATTTTTATAAGCATAAAATAGTTTTATTAATATAAAATATGTTACACTTCATAACAATCCTTACATAACTCTGGCTTCTGAGATATCTACATGTATGTATATAATTTATTTTAATTCTAAAAATATATGTTCATTTACATTATTAGTTAATATTAATACAACCATAGTTATTTTTCAATTGTTTTTTATTTGTTTTTTGTACTAAGAATCTCATACAAAGTTGACATTAATTGCTAAAGAAATGGCAATGGATGGAAAGAAGTTATGCATTTGTATACATCCTAACAGACCTAATGTGGGCACAAAGGAAATTAAGTATATTTATTTTCTGGAGGACTTTCACATTGTATGAATTTAATCAAAGTTCTTTGTAAATTTGAAGATATTCTTTGGAAAACCCTTCTGCCACATCTGGGTTGAAGTGTTAATAGTAGAGTTGAGAGGCTTCTAGTCTAAGGAGGTTTGAATTGCATTCCTTTGCTTCAGAATGCTTCCCCCTCCACTAAAGAAGAAGAAAGTGGAAGAAACTCCAAATGACATACCTGATGTCCTTCAGGGGGAAATTGCTCGTCTAGACCAAAGATTTAAGGTATATGTGTGTGCATGTTTAAAACCTGATGATGGGGTCTGAAAATAATGTTTTCCAAATTTGGGAAAAGAAAAAATGATAATTGTTTCTTGCCCAATCAACATTCAGGCCTTTCTTTGGTTCCTGTTTTAGTAGTGTCGGGTAACTGTTCCAAGATATCAGTCTAATCAGAAGATGAAGAACTTGTATTATAGTCAGCATGGATTAATATCTGTGTCTTTAGGAAAGATAGTTTGACTTTGGTTTTCACTCCGTATTCTCAGGCTATAAGAAACATTGGACAGGTTTTCATTCAGTATGGTCTATAGGAACTACAAACTCAGTTGCTTAGTCATAATTTTGTTACAAAGAAAATTATCTCAGTTCATGAGAATTTCTTTATCTTTGCTTTCTCAGGTTAGCCTTGACCCAACTCAACAGCCTGGTTCTCGCTGTGTCCAGTTATTGTGTTGGTTGGATGATCGTCACTTACCATGTGTTCCACCTGTGTCTCTTTCTGTGCCTGAAGATTACCCTCACAGCCCACCAAGATGTCACATGGCTGCTCATGAACATAGTTCCACACAGTTCTTATGTGCTGTACAAAAAGCTTTGGCTTCTAGAATACGAAAGCTTCCAAGTCGGTTTTCAGTATCACAGTTGCTTGATACATGGGAGATGAGTGTACGGCAAGCTTCAGCACCAACTCAGACTCCAGTGTCTGCTGCCACTGTACTTATGGGACTGTAATATGTGATGTGCTTACAATTGATTATATGTTTAAGTATTTCATAATGCCATTTTTAGTATAAAAGTTGTGTTTGATTTCTTAGTTGGCACTGATACAGCTGTTAAATTTTGTTGCAGGAGATAAATGGTAAATCTTCAAGAAAATGTACTTCTCATGGAGAATATCCAAAGGCTCATTTATACTAATTTTGCAATCAAAAGTCATACATAACACCACCAAACCCAGATATAATGTATGTATTCCAGACATATAACTTTATTTCTCTTTGTAAACTGTACTAGAATGGATGGGAGAACACTGACAAACCTGACCAAAAGCTATTAAATTAACATCTCACCCCAGTTTCAAACCTTTAGCTTTTTCTTATTTACTAAGTCAGGAAATGTGTTCATGTTACATGAATGAGGCAAGTTTCAAACTACTGCCATGAGTTGGGTCTAGAAGTCTGTTTTCTGTTTCAGGCTTTGATGATAATTTTTTTAAAAAATATTTTAAATGGAGATATATGTAAACCATGTGTTATCTTACTGATTTATACATTCATATTTACATGTTCTTAAGACTATATTTCTCTCTGTTAAGGTGTTTTGGATGTGATATTCCCTTTCAGGATTATTAAAGTTGAAAGATAAAGTTCATTGCTGGAGGGTGCACAGAATATAAAAGTAGTGTGCAGCTTATTCTCTGTTACAAAATACTAGAATAAAATTGTATTTCAATAATTTAGTACATAAATAAAATCCTAGAAAACATTAACTAAGAAATCCAACTCTGTTTAAGGTTATCATGATGATGAAATTTTTTATTTTTTTTCTGGGTTGTAATGCTGTGTGGACTTAATAGGTAGATACAAGCATTTTGGAAGAACATATTGCGCTAAAGGTGGTTGCAGAATGGTATCTACCTACAAGTCCACATGATGTTACAACCCAAAAGACCAACTTTGACAATTAATCTAAGGTGAATATGTTTCCATATTGCATATTTTAAAGTTAGTAACAATGTTGCATTAAGCAGTAAAAGAGTGGTAAAGGGAAAAATACGAAAATACTTTTGTGCAAGAGTTATGGAGGTAATATTCCATGAATTCTACAAGTTGTACCATTTAAACTTTAGTACAAAAAGGAAATTGGAAGCAAGGTCAACCTGTGTAATAAACTCTCCCCTGTGACACTAGTCAAAAGCTACCCTTGTTGCTAGGCCACTGCTCATGCCAGTAATGGCAAAACTGTGTAGGTGTAAACATGGGGTATTCACAAACCCATTGTTATCCTCAATGTTACTTTTTGTCAAAAATATTTCCCTCATTTAGTAATGCACAATGTTCACGAATGTTTCAGCAGACTTCTACCAGACTACATTGTGCTACAACCCAGAAGACAGTCATCTTTGTTCTCTGCCATTAGAACCTTAATTCCTAATCACTGGCTGTAAATGTTGAAGAAATCCTCAATTCCTATGCCACAAAATGATATTATAGTGGTATCTACCCTGGTTTGTACAGCATGCAGTCGAAGTATTTACCGCGTAATATATTGCTTAAAATAATGTAAAAATTGTTAAAATTTCAATGTCTTGCCCAAAATCATTAATGTAAACGAACATTTTAATCAAATGAATGTGTTGAATAACACCTTTTGAAGGTTAGGGAGGGGAATCTATTTTGGTGAGGTTACAAGTCGTCTTTAGTATACTTAAATATTAACAGTTCAGGAATAAAATAGGAATATGTTCGTCAAAATTAAACATGTCTGAAACGATTGAGACGTTCCAGAAAGAAATAGGTACATGCATATGCATTCTTTAAGGAAGCCATTAATTTTTATACCGTGGGAAACTTAATTGAAGTAAAACAATTTCCAATTTTGCTTCGGTGTGCTTTGTAAATCCGTTTGCATATAAGGAAAGAGCTTTATACAATACAAGGATTTTTCCCAAAATTTTAATTTTACGTTTTCTGTATTGGTTATCCTGATATCAATTTTTCCTGGCATTTGGATTGCGGTAGTTTAGCGAGGTATGTTGGTAATAGGTGTTGGTCACTACATTGTCTGTGGTAAATTTGTCCACATGTGTACTTTAATTTATTATTTTCTGTTAGTTTTGTGTATTTATTTGTTTATCCAAAGGCTCAGATATGTCTTTTGAGATGCGGAAAATAATAATTACTTTTTGCAAGATGTATGACGGAAAGGGTTGTGATACATTTGCGTTACACGAAGCATTTGAAAAGTGACTGGAAAGTGATGTATAAAGTTGACTTATAATTGCACTTTCATTTGAATATGGAATGTGAACGTACACATATTGTAGAAGAATCAACTGCTCAAAGTCAAGGCGGTATTATAATGAAAGTTAATTTGACTGAACGTGAAAAGTTTTCGAATTTTTGTTCACTACAGTTTGACTTCCAAGATCAGCCTACTCAGAAAGAATATGACAGGAATGAGGTAATAAAATATGTGGCCATAGAATTTCATGTTATTACAACAGATACCATGTGCTACCGTATTGTAGATACAGTGTCATACCGAAATCGTTTGTAAGATAACAAATTTCAGTTGCCACATTGAACAGCTAACCTTCTTTACCAGGGTTATATTGTTTTTGGTGCCTTCATGTGCATTATCTTTCCTGATACATTACAACGACCGTTATGGCCGAGAGGTCAGAACTTCTACATACAATTCGGATGTGACGGGTTCATATCTTGGTTTGAACATTGGTTATTCTGAGAGTTGTCTCATAGTTTTCCTCAATCTTTTTAGACAAATTATAAGATATACCTGAAATTAGACCACAGCTGCATCCTCCCATAGCCTTTCTGGTTTATTAATAATCATATCACTTGATACTGTATAGTCTGAGCTAGTGACAGAATCTTTAAATAAACCAAAAATAGAATAATCATGGTATTCATGTTCACACTTGTTAGTTGTGAACATATCCTGGCATCTTCAGGCTCTCTCACTTGGTATGCTCCTACCACTTTCCTTATTTTTAACTCTGCTGTAATAACTACCATTTCCACACAATTACCTTTGTTATATATTCATGGCTGTCATCCGAATTCTGAGATGAAACATTTTCTCCCTGAGAAATTTTCCATCAAATTCCCATTATTAAAATAGGACTTTTTATTATTTGTCTGTATCATTTTCCTATTAGTAATGAATGAATAAAACACAATACTTTCATTATTTGTGTGTATTATTCACCTACTGACAGCAAATAAAAACAAATTTAAGAATGTTATTGTCTTGTAAATCTCTTGTGAATTTTATGTTTAATGATGTATAACATGTTTAGAGTAGTATTATTTTATTTAATTAGGTTTTATTAAGGGGTTATGTTCCATAAAAAATTCCTTGTTTCAGGCAGTGCCCTGCCATTGCTTAATCTGTGGTGTCTTGTGTGACATTGCTGAATCTTCGCACAATGTATTTAGTCAGCTTATGACTTCTAACTCATCAAGAATCTCTGTATTTGAGAAGGTGGGTCAGATACTGAGCAGAAATCTTCATAGCATCAATCTTCATAGTGAGGTGGTTTGTGGTCGTTGTTTTAGTCTCCTAATAGAGTATGAAGAGACTAAACGCAAACTGCAAACAATACGTCTGGATCTGGTAATGAAATTTGACAATACAGCAAGTAAACATCAGGAGGGTATAACAAATATGTCAGAGAAGCAGGCAGAGTTAGATGATGGTAGTCATAAAGACAATGAAAACCAAACACCTGAAAATAGTAACATTCCCAGGCTAGTAATTACAGAGGAAGGTAAAGTTGTTGACATAAATGGTGAAGAAAAAGCAGCACCTGTGAAAAGAAGAAGAATTACAACTAATGGAAAATCAAATGTTACTAATGGTGTAAAATCAAAACCATATGTGTGTTCAATATGTGGTAAAGGTTTCCGTGCGTTCAGCCACAGAGTTGAACATATGTTAATTCACCTTGGTGAGAAGCCATGGAATTGTGCAGAATGTAAGAAAACATTTCGTACAAAAAGTGCATTGAGAGTTCATAGCGCAAAGCATTCAGGAGAGCGGCCTTACACGTGTCAGCAGTGTGGAAAGTCATTTCTTGACCGATATTATTTTGAGGAACACTGTCGCATTCATTCAGGAGAAAGACCATTTGTTTGTACTTACTGTCAGCGACCATTTGCACGAAAAAAGGACCTTGCAATTCATACTAAGAATCATACAGGTGACAAGCCCCACAAATGTACATCTTGTTCTAAAACATTTGCTGTCAAATCACGTCTTGATAGACACAGTCGCATACACACGGGGGAAAAGCCCCATAATTGTGAATATTGTGATAAATCATTTGCTCGGCGTGATGACTACAAAGTACATGTGCGTCTACACACAGGAGAACGCCCATTCCGATGTGCTGTATGTAGCAGAACTTTCACCAATCAATCAAACTGTTTGGTGCATGTACGAATACATGAAGGTTCCAAACAGCGATATCCATGTCCAGTGTGTGAAGAGAGCTTTGACCGACGTAGCAAGGTAGATAGGCATGTAACCATGCACCATAATAATATACGGAGCAAAGAAGAGCCAGATTCCAAAGCACAAGGTTCAACAGAGCCAACTACAGTTCAGGCTTTGGACACTGAAATCCAAAATCTGCCTCCTGTTTCTCTCCAGTCCCTTGCTCAGATTCAAATTGAGTCATTAGCCACACCATCTTTATCTCATACTGACAGCATTAGTCAAGCTGTGTCACAGCCCTTGCTTCATTCAGAAACCCTGCAGAGTTTGACAGTTACAGATCTTCATACTCTACAGACAATGCCAATAACACAGGTAGCACAGTTAGAATGGAGTGATGGAACAGCAGCTGGTACAACCACAACTTATGTTAACATTACACCAGCAACTTATGTTAACATTATAAATTAATTGTACTGATTATTATGGTAGGGAATGGAAAGTAATGTATACAGTTCAGTTGAGATGAAGGTATTTACATATTAAGGGGTGACTGAAACATGGTGTTGAGATGATCTTTGTAACAGTGTTGTGCATCAGTAAGAACATTCTAACATATGTAGATAATAGGATGATATAACTTTAACTAGCATAACCAAAATTAGTTTGAACTAAGGTAAAATGTGCTTTGTGATGCACAGCATCACTATGCCGATCCTTTTGACATGTTTTGGTCACACATTAATGCATAAGTACCATTTACTGTAGATACTGACAGTTAAAATTTACGTAGGCAAATCAGGAAATGTGGCAGTGCTGCAATTGATGTAATTAACATACCTAATTTTTTAGAACTATTTTCTGCAGATCTTACTGTAGTTGTACTGGTGATTCTTGTTACATATACCAAGAATACTGACTTAAAGACTAGAAAAGAAGATAGAGGAAGTGATGGGAGACGACCAATTTGGATTCAGGAGAGGAAGAGTAACCAGAGATGCCATCGGAGTTATGAGAACAATTTCAGAGAGAGTTCTCGATGTCAAGGAAGAAGTATGTGCCTGCTTCATCGACTGGAAGAAGGCTTTCGATCGAGTAAAATGGAAGAAATTAATGAGGATCCTACAGAGAATTGGAATTGATTGGAGAGATAGAAGACTAATCGAAAACCTGTACA